AGAGGTCCGCTATGGTAAATTGGCTGAAACCTTTATATTTCTACACTAGCAGATCATCATGTGGGGGTGATCATTAGGTTTTGGGGTTGTCATTGCTTGACAACTATTGTTTGTGCTAGAAATTGGGGATACTTGCTCTAAATTGTTTGATTGAATATTTGTTTTTGGATTAAAATCAGTTTTTTAATTCTTAGTGATCTAATTACTGTGAAACTAGTTATCTGCTAGACGTATCTTTTGTTGTATTGATACTTCCGCTGCTGAGTTACTCCGTTAGAACTACCGTGACCTTATCCATTTGAACATTCCCTTGATCTAAGATCGCGAGTCTTGCGAAACCCTGGGAATCTAGAACGGTGTATACTGTCTGTAACCTTAGGACTACTTTATGTGATTTGTGCATTCTTTGACTATTGTGTGAAGATGTCAACTCACAACTTTGATTTGGAAATTTTTAACGGAAAGGGTGACTTTTCTATTTGGCAACAAAAAATGAAGGGCATTTTAGTCCAACAAAAAGTTTCAAAGGTCATTGAATGCAATTTTCAAACTGATTTTTTAAAAGAACAAAGGGAAGAAGCCGATGAGCTTGCTTACACCTCAATCATTTTACACTTGTCTGACGCCGTTTTAAAAAAAGTGGGTAAACTGAAAACCACCAAAGAACTTTGAAAAAAATTAGAAGACTTATATTTGCTTAAGTCTACACCGAATAAATTTTACTTGCTTGAACGTTTTTTCAGTTTTAAAATAGATCCTTCAAAGGATCTCGATGACAATTTAGATGTGTTTAACAAATTGGTACAAGATATAGTTAATTGTTATGAGACTGTGTCCGAAACTTATAAGGCTATAATTTTGCTCAATGCAATTCCTGATTCCTATAAGAAAGTTAAGAACGCTATTAAGTATGGTAGAGACATGTTGACACATGAAATTGTCATAGACTCCCTTAAAAGTAAAGAAATTGAAATTAGGACTGAAAAACACGATAAGAGGAATGGTGAGGTACATATGATATGGGGTAGAACTCAATTTAGGCAAAATAGTCATGATGGATATCAAACTAGTGGCGAGTCAAGTGGTAATGGATCGAAAACGAAGAGCAAAGGCAGGTCTAGATCAAAATCTAGGACTAAGGCAAGAAAATGCTATGGTTGTGAAAACATGGGGCATTTTATAAAAGATTGTCATAAGGAGAAGGGTAAGCTAAATGTTAAGAAGAGAGATGAGGTCAATGTGTTAGCATCTATTTCCGATATAAATGGTGGTGAGGTCTATATGATTACAAGTCCCGTTGCATATATTGCTGAATTAAATCTAACTGCTAATTCCCACATGCATGAGTGGATACTTGACTCTGGTGCATCTTTTCATGTGACGTTTGAGAAGAATTGATTTTATAAATCGCATGAATATAATGTTGGGCATGTTGTGCTGTGTGATAACTTTGCTTATACTATTGCTGAAATTGGTGACATAAACGTAAAATTTGGCACAGGTTTTGTGTATACGTTAAATGATGTTAGATATATTCCTGAATTGTCTAGGAATCTGATTTTAGTAGGGAGACTTGAAAAGGATGGCTTACTGGTAAAATTAGAAATGGTATGCTAAAAATGATCAAGGGTGCTTTAGTTTTCATTAAGGGAATTAAAAATGATATATATATATATATATATATATATATATATATATACACTCCTCTATCTCTTCTGCCAAGATTGATCACACACACACATGGCATAATAGACTTGCTCACATAGGCATCAAGGGACTTAAGTTACTTAATGAAAAAGGTGCTTTTTGGTAATGACTGTGTGTCAGATTTGTCATTTTGTGATCATTGTGTGCTTGGTAAGTATCATAAAACTTCTTTCTCAACGAGTGTTAATAGAGCTAAATGTATGCTTGAATATGTGTACTCTGATCTGAGGGGTCCTGCTAGTAATCCCACATCGAGTGGGAATAGGTATTTCCTGTCAATTATTGATGACTACACTAGGAATGTGTGGGTCTATCTATAGAAAGATAAATCTGAAACCTTTAATAGTTTTAACAATTGAAAGAGACAAGTGGAAAACCAAATTGACAAGAAAATCAAAATTTTAAAGACAGATAACGACCTAGAATTCTGCAATGAGGAATTTGATAGTATGTGTAAAGAAAGTGGCATAACTAGACATAAGATCGTTCCTTACACTCCTCAACAAAATGGGGTAGCAGAAAGGATGAATATGACTATACTTGATAAAGTACGTTGCATGATGTTAAGTTCTGGTGTTCCTAGATAGTACGTTGCATGATATTAAGTTCTGGTGTTCCAAAAATACTACACTTCATGCAGTAAAAGTAAATAGTATAGAATAGCCTCTCTCATCAATTTCACGATTTGAAACCATCAATTAATTCCCCAAACATGCCCCAGTTGCGTCCCTATTATTTCCAAAATAAATCCCCAAATAAATGGCTCTCTCTTTGAACACAAAATCAAGAATCCCCTAATATTTGAAAAGTTTCACCAATACACCACAATCATCTCTATCTTCAAATGAATCGAGCCTTGTTTTACATCATATATTTGAAGAATCTATTTATCCACTTCTGCGATTTTATAAATCCGTAATTTCTATACCCTCGTTTACAAATCCCTAAAACCTACGTTGAAGTACCTGATTTAAGTACGAAAATATGCAGATCCAAACTTTGTCTTATTTATTCTTAAGATTCTATAAAAAAAAAACCCACAATTCACACTAGGAATCTGTTAATTTGCAGCTTTTAATTGAGTATATAAACTCTAATTGTTCATACTAGTATTTCCACAAACTGCGATTGTGAGAGAAAGTAAATATAACATCTTTGTTCATATATCTGTAATATAATGACATTGGAAGATGTCATCACCAAATCCCAGCTCAAAATTAGGTTTAGGGAATAACAAAAAATTGATCGAAGGTGCACCACATCCTGCTAATGCATCCCATCTTTTGTTAATAGGATCTAAAAAGAACGAAAAAAGGAAGATGAAGGGAGACATCATTGCGTATGATTGAATCAATCTAATTCTAAGTTTTTTGTTTCTGCTCTGGGAAAGTAATGGTCTTTAAGGGATTACCTAACTCTAAATAATTTCACCTTAATGCAATGGAGAATTGTTTTTGTTTTGGCATGTTTGGACGATACATTGATCCCGTTTTGTGTGGATTCTGTTACGATATTTTATATTAGTTATTGTCAAATTTTGGCGTGAAATGAAATCTTTATTTTATATATTGTCATGTTAGAATCAATAAACATGCATCTATCATGTTTTATATATATTTCACATATTGTCATGCTGGTAATCTTGCTTGCAGTTGGAGGGTGACATGTGGTGCTGGTGGTTAGGCAGTGGACACCCTAAAGATTGAGATAGGATGCAAGAACTTATGAATAGTATATGAATTTAAATTCTACTTTTTTGCTGTAGTGTTGTGAATTTGTGTTTGAGCTTACTTATTTCAGTCATTAAAATAGAGCAATTATTGTTTTTAGGATGAATTGATGCTTAACTTTATACATATTTCGTTTGTTAGGTGCAACTCGAGTCAAAATAATGAAATTGGACAGAAGAGCGAGAAATTTGTTAACTTGGGCTTAATCAAAAGTTTGGGGACTAAATCTCAACCTGATGTTGATGATTGAAGAAGAGCTAGAGACAACTAAAGGGTATTGGAGGATGAAAGATCAAGAAGATATCAAATATAAACCAAAAGGAACGAAGAATGAACTCTAGGGACCAAAGTGCAACACATAGAAAGATTTCATAGTGGTGCACGCACGTAGGCCAATACTCTTGCGCGTGCATGTGCTTGAATTTTATATGCAGAGAGTAGAAGCAGTATGTAGCGCGCGCGCATGGGCATATTTCGGGGAAAAAATCGGACAGATTCGTTTTTTGATACAAACTCTTATGGTAATAAAATCTATCATACTACTTAACTTAAAAAAAGGGACGAACATAATGAGAGGGGTTCTTTTTTCTTTTGGACAGCTTAAAGGTGATTGCAAGGAGAGGAAATCTCAAGAGGTAAGTAGAGGAAGAAGACTGACAACGATCGGGGGAAGAATTCACGCAACACAACTAGTTTTTCTTATTCCATACTTCTTCTTCATGTTTTTTATTGTGTATTTTATCATGTCAGTTAATTCAATTATGAACTAAACTTTGAAATCTAGGGCTTGACGCAACCTATTTGAGACATGTTTTTTATTCTAATATAGTTATTTCTTTTGATTTTTCTGGAATTTATTTATGTTGTTCTTGCTTAATGCTTTCAATTATCTAATTAACAATTGAATGATTTGATACTTTAAATTTGGTGCTTGAGACAGGGAAATTTAGGCATGATCTAGGAATAACATAACCTAGATTTCGTAGGTTTCGAGAGAAAATGCGAATATTTGAGGCTAATTCCATTTAAGAACCAGATGCTTTGATAATTTCTATACGTTTAATTTGGAATAGAGATATTGTGATTAAAATATCGAAATAAGTTCTATTTGGTGCTGGAGAGAGGATATAATTAATTTATAGTTCTTGCCTATAAATCTGGAAAAGAGTTGATGGAAATAGCTATAGAGGTAGAAAAATATCGTCGAAAATAGGTGAAATCATTCCCTAAGCTTTTCCATCTTGATTTATTAGTATAATTTGCATCCCTTGATTTCTCACCAAAATTATCGTTAGATTAATTAACAATATTGATTTTAAGTTTCATTCGTCTAGATAAAATAGAAACTACCCAATTATAGTATTTGGTAGAAATTAAATTACAATCCCTATGGATTTAATACTCTTATTTCAAAACTATATTATAAAATTTGACACCATATACTTGCGGTATAAATCACGTTGCCTGAAAAGCTTGGCATTGAGTATATATAAAATTTTTCCTTATTTCTTTGCATACGTAAGCCCAGCCCAAATAAATTATATGGGCCGGCAATAGCACGCTAAACTATCCTGTTTTTAAATCATCCCAGATTTAGGGTTTCATAATCGGTGGTAACTGGTATCAGCGGCTCCCTCAGAGAAGCTCTCAAATCCAAATCACCGCAGCATAGCCGCCACCTTTCCGTCACCATGGGGTACTAAATTATTTATTATTATTATTTTTTTAACTTCATTCATTCTATACTGTGTTTTGCTTAATTCTGCTACGTATTCTGTCCGGAAGAATTAGATAGATGGGTGAAGTTAATGCCCTTGTGTTCTTGTAATGTTTTTTGTTATTATGAAAACTAAATGTCATCCTGTAAAGATGGTGCCTGGAAAATAAGATATTTTATTACATTGTTCGTATTTAAAAGTGAAATGAATGTTAATAATACATTGTTTTGATGCATTTGAAGCTTTGTGACTTCATTTTGGGCTATGAATAGCGATTTTTGCGAAAAGATTGATCCTGTAGTGGTGGTTCCGGGAGGGATGTTGTTATGGCTTTTATTGATTTTTCAGTCCATCTTGGCAAAGCTGAAATGCCCTGGGCGATGAGCAGCTTTGAATGCTAATGGACTTAAATTAGATGTAGACTGTTCTAAACTTCTCTTAAGCTATGAAGTAGCAGATCAGTGGACAAGAAACATTTAAAAACACAACTTTGTGAAATTAAAGATAGTCATTCACAGTCCATCTTGGCAAAGCTGAAGAGCTCTTTTCAAAGGGCCATGAGCAGTTTTGAATGCTAATGGACTGAAATCATATCTCGCTAAATACTTGGCTTCTTTTAAGCTATGGAGTTGCTGATCAGTAGAGATGAAACATTTAAAAAACATGGAACCATTAAAAATTACAGGTTATATAATCTACATTAATTTCTTTAATAAAAAGTGTCGTCCCTTTTAAGACTTTAGTATTTTTGCTATTGAAAATGGTTATTTCCAGTCCATCTTGGCAATCTTGAAGAGCTCTTTTTAGAGGGTGGTGAACAGCTTTGAATGCTAACGGGCTTGAATCAAATGTCTCTCTAAACTGTTCTCGGCTTCTCTTAAACTATGAAGTTGCAGATTAGCGATGAAACATTTAGTCCTTGTTTTATACAGATTCTTTAAAACTTATTTTAGACCACATATTTTCCCAATAAAATAATTGTGAAAGTTACCTATAATTTTCCCTACTTTTTAACTGCGCACGTTTTCCAAAAAATCACCTTCACAAAATCTATTCTAAAAAATCTATATCAGACGGGCCCTTGATATGACAGGTAACATAATCCATGAGTATTTATTTTGTAGAAGTGCTTTCTGAAAAGGATTAGTTCTTGTGGACTTTGAAATGGTTATTTCTAGTCCATCTTGGCAAAGCTGAAGAGCTCTTTCCGAAGGGCAATGAGTAGTTTTGAATGCTAATGGACTAAAACCAAATCTCTCTAAACTGTTCCTGGCTTCTCTTAAGCTATGAAGTTGCAGATCAGTAGAGATGAAACATTAAAGTAGTGTTATTAAAAATTATAGTTTTGCATGGTTATGTCACTCATGAATATTTCTTTATTTTGCTCTTTTAAAGGATTGGTTTCTATTGAATTGAAATAGGTAATACCAATTTGCTGTCCATCTTGGCTAAGCTAAAGAGCCAGGCGATGAGCAGTTTTGAATGCTAATGGACTCACATCAAACATCCCTCTAAAATATTCTAAATTCCTTTTGGTCAGGTGTTGCAGAATAGTGGGGCTGTAACATATCCTAAATTCGAAGATATAATATTATAAAGTATAATATATAGACAAAAGTTGATAGCGAATTCTTTGTACCGAAAGATTTATCTGTAATATTGGAACTTATATTCAAACATTTGGAAATTGCTTGCATGTAAATTGCAGTAGATATCTCATGTGGCCAGTTCGTCTTGTGTGTGCTATTATGCTGCACAGACACGACACGGACGCGAGGACACGCCGACACTTTATTTTTCAAAACCATAGGACATGAATATTGGTGATTACACTGCTGCAATGTAGTGTCCCTTCACTTGTTTTCATCTTATTATTCGAATAGGTCCTTCCTCAATTGTTATGCACTTGTGTGTACAACACTCTCGTCTAGGCTGACCAGAACTGCAGCAAATGGAGTGCTTGTGTTAATTTTCTTTTCTTGAGTTGCTAATTATATTATGCTGACTCTTTTATGCAGGAAGACACGTGGAATGGGAGCTGGTCGCAAGCTGAAGTCGCATCGTAGAAGGCAAAGGTGGGCCGATAAGGCTTATAAAAAATCCCATCTTGGCAATGAATGGAAGAAGCCATTTGCAGGCTCCTCTCATGCAAAAGGGATTGTTCTTGAGAAAATGTAAGAAATTGCTAGTCTCTTTCTTTTCCCTTGACAAGCCTTAACTACCATGTTTGTAGCTCATTTCCAAGACTGAACTCGTGCTACTAAATGAATTTCATAGTGGTATCGAGGCCAAGCAGCCGAACTCTGCTATTAGAAAATGTGCTCGAGTGCAACTTATTAAGAATGGGAAGAAGATTGCTGCCTTCGTACCCAATGATGGTTGCTTGAACTACATTGAAGAGAATGTGAGTAGTGTGATAAGTTTCTCAGCTGTCGGTTCATTTATCATCCATATCATGCTTCCTCAATCTTCTTCTTGGCCTGAAATTTTTTTATCTGGTTGGCATGTAGGATGAGGTGCTAATTGCTGGATTTGGTCGTAAGGGGCATGCTGTCGGAGATATTCCTGGAGTCCGTTTCAAGGTTGTGAAGGTCTCAGGTGTATCTCTTTTGGCACTCTTTAAAGAGAAGAAGGAAAAGCCAAGGTCTTGAATGTCCAGTTGGAAGACACGGCTTGGCTTCAGATTTTGCTGTACATTTCTCTATATTTCTTTTACCCCACGTCATGTCCTTTCCAGAGTTTAGCATTTGTTCTATGTTTCAGTTTTGGGACGTCTCGACACTTCAATTTTAAGGCCATATAACGTTGGGAATCAATAGAGTAGCTGTCCTCTTGATTGTAACTACTACTACTTTCTTCTCTCGAAGCATCTTCGTTTCTTTGCTATTTGAGCCCCTATATTTTCTTGGTTCGCCAATTAGGTCGTTGACATGTTATTGTGATTTGAGGTTTACTTGGTCGAAGATACTAAAACAATATCAATCTGCTGTCCTGTATGCCAAAGGCACCAAAATATAGAAAAATCTACAATTTACTGAAGGCATGTTCATCATGTTCAGTATGACATGATGAAACAGAACTCTTGATTATAATTTCTTTTATAAAATATTATTTGATTACAAGTGATTATATTTTATCCTTTTGTAGTGGACACGATATGCTATTAAACTGTGTTGGATCTTGGGTATAATGAAAGGTGGGCTAAGATTCAAAGGCATAGGTACCAAAAAGTTGGTCCACGATAATAATAAATCCAAGATAGAGACTCGGAAGTATACGGGTAAAAATGTTAGTGAACATGTTTTAATAAGAGATCATACATTAGCGAATTTTCATGAAGGGAATGAAAAATGTTGATTGGAACAAAGTTTGTGATGTGATCCAAAGAAAGCAACGGGCTATTAAGAGTTTGAAGTATGTCGAGAAGAGGTTAAGGTCAAGATTGAGATTAATTAAAGTCAATAAAAATCAACGCAATCACTTGTTCAAATTATGAATTCAAAGAAGGTGATGTTAACAAGCTGAAGACCAAGTTGGTGTTGGACGTGGAAGAAAGGAGAAAAAACGAAGTGGATCAACTTGATTCGAGTAATGGACGGAGAGGCTGTACAGTATTACTACGTGATCGCATAGTTATAAAAACTATGCAATTACATAGACCCTTGCAGAAACCATAGTTGGGAATTACGGTTCTTCTATGCAGCCGCATCTAGTCACACTGTGGCCTCATAGTTCAAGCCGAACACAAATTTTTTCAATTTTTTGCGAAATCGCATAATTTAGTTAAAACTCTATATATTTGGTATTTTTTATAATCTTTGTAATTTGAGTTCGTTTTAACTAGGTTTACGAAATCTTTTATTTATATTAAACTCTATTTTATGGTAACTTTTAGTATTATTAGACTTTAATTTCATTTTTAACTAGATTTTATGAGTTCCCTATAAATAGGATTCATTATTTTATTGTAAACATGAATTAATTTAGAATATTCAATAGAGCGATTATTTTGTGAGTAATTTTGTTGTCAATTCCTAGTTCTTTATTGAATTAAATTTCGAACTTATCAAGAATTATTTTCTTGTGGTATTCAAACAATCCGGGTGAGATTTTTGAATTTTGTCATCAAGGATCAACATATTGTCAGCGATTGTTTTGGTTTTTTGGTTCAATATTTTTGGGTCAAACTTTAAACGTTGATTCTTGGCTTTCTTAGGTTTGAATCAATTTCGTATGGGTTTCGTAGCTAGTATTACTACGTGGGTTCACATCAATTGGTATAAGAGCTTGGTCTCCAAAAATCACGATTATATAATATTTCCTTTTGTTTGAGTCTTTGTTTTCTTTCCTTATCAGTCTCCGTATTCTTCTTGTTCTTCATCCTTTTAAGTCTTTCAATCTAATAAATGTTTCAAATTATTTCAAAAGTTGTTTGTGCATTAAATTAGTATTCGAATCAATTTCTTTCTAAAATTTTGGACTCCTTATTAAATTCCTTGCGTTTAAAAAAAAAAAAAAAAAAAAAAGTCCGAAAAAAATCTAGAAAAAAAATCGAAAAAATTCAAAAAAAGGGGCAGTTACAAAAAAAGGCCCAAAAATCAAAAGTGCCAATCCAAATTCAAGAACCACTTCTTGGATCAAGTACTAGTTCCCATTCAAAGTGTCGAGTTCCTTTGTTTTCGTTATTTCTTTCTTGAGTCTTCTAAAATTACAAAATTCACTCATGACCTAGTTTGAATACTTCAAGAATAAAACTTAGTTGAGATTGAATTAGTTCTTTGAAACATTTGGACAAAAGCATTGAGTGGAAAAAAGGCAAGCGTTGTAAGACTGTTAGAGGGAAAAAGCCAATTTGAGCGATAAACGATTGGAAGGTATAGTGACAATTTGATATGTGATGTAGTTCCTATGCATGCTAGGTACACTTTGTTGGGTAGGCCATAGCAGTATGATAGGAAGGTGAAGTATGATGGATTCAAGAATAGGTACGACTTTGTAAAAGATGGGAGAGTTGTTACTCTTATACCCTTTAACACCACAACAAGTCTATGGGGGATCAATTGAAATTTATAGGTGATGAAGAAAAAAAAGGCAAAGAGAGTTAAAGGAAGAGTAGTAAAGAAGATAGCGAGTGGCTAAGTGTGTGAAAAAAAAGAGCAGAGCCACAAGAGAGAAAAGAAAGTGAATCTTTTGTGGGAGAGAAAAATCAAAGTGAATTTCTATGAAAAAGGAAATGAGATTGAGAGTGCTTTGGTGAGGACTAACAAACACCTCCCCAGTTTGAATATTTCTGTCTTACGAGAAAACAAGCCTATTGGAATACCGTCCAATCTAGGCATTGAGCATCAACTTGTGGATGATACTATAGCCTATGGCAAGGATTTAGATGTGCAGGATAAATATTTGAGATATATTGATTGTAATCTACATAGCTACTTGTGAAAAACTGGATGGGATGATTTAAGAGCTAATTTGATAGTTTCTACTTCTTACTCATGTTTTGATATAGTTTATGGTTTTAATTTGCTAACTTTGTCGGGTTTAATTCCTTTAACTATTGTTATAAGTGGTAGGCTAGGTGGAAAACAGGGGATTCTATTATATGCATTACAAAGTAACAAGCATAAAATGTGTAAGATATTTAAACCAGGTGATTGGGTTTGGATGCTTAGAAAAAAATGGCATGTTTGAATGCAAAGAAGGTCAAGGTTTAATCCTAGATGAGATGGACCATCCCATGACATTGCAACGATTGAAAGTAATCGCTATAACTTGGATCTTCAAGGTAAGTTTGTAATAATTTACATTTTTCGTTGATTCTGATCTTTCTCTATTTGATGCATGTATAAATTTGAGGTCGAATCCTTTTGAAGAGAAAGAGGATGATGTGATCCAAGAAATGCAACGAGCTAACATGTTTGAAGTATGTCGAGAAGAGGCTACGGTCAAGCTCGAGATTAGTTAAAGTGAATAAAGCCATGTAATCACTTGTTCAAGTTATGGAATCCAAAGAGGGTGACGTTAACCAGTCGAAGACCAAGTTTGTGTTGGGCATAGAAGAAGAAATGAGAAAAAAACGAAGTGGATCAACTTGATTTGAGTAACGGACGGGGAGGCTGTACATTATAACTATGCGACCGTATAGTTATAAAGACTATGCAATTGCATAGACCCTTGTGAAAACAATAGTTGGGAATTACGGATCTTCTATGCGATCGCATCTAGTCACACTATGTGGCATCATAGTTCAAGCCAAACGCAATTTTTCTAATTTTTTACGAAATCTCCTAATTTAGTTAAAACTCTATATTTTTTGGTATCTTTTATGATCTTTAGGATTTGATTTCGTTTTAACTAGGTTTATGAAATTTTTTATTTATATTAAACTCTATTTTATGATAACTTTTAGTACTATTAGACTTTAATTCCCTTTTTAACTAGTTTTATGGATTTCCTATAAATATGACTCATTATTTCATTGTAAACATTAATTAATTCATTAATTCAGTAGAGAAATTATTTTATAAGCAATTTTGCTTTCAATTTCTTGTTCTCCATTGAACTAAATTTCAAACTTATCAAGAATTATTTTCTTGCGGCGTTTAAACAATTTGGATGAGATAATTAAATCTTGTGATCAATGAGTCAACATATTTTCGATGATTGTGTTGGTTTCTTGGTTTAATATTTTTTGATCAAACACTAAACATTGATTGTTGACTTTCTTGGGTTTGAATCAATTTCACGTTTTCGTTGCGACTATTGCTACATGGGTTTACATCGGTTTGTGTTATGGAAAGAAAGAGATGACAGAATATAAATCAATTGACTTGTGTGTTTTATTGAGAATAAAAGTTTCATATGAAAGAATTAGGGATACAATGATAATAATTTTTAGGTCTATAGGGGTATAATTATTATTCACTAATAAATTATAATTTACAACATTCTCTTGAATGACCCATTACAAAATATTTGTTTCATTAAAACCTTATTTAATAAAAATTCAATTGGACAAAAATATTAAATAAAGGAAAAAGGGCACATTTAACTTGGAGCATTAAAAATAAATATTGACTCATTAAAACCTTATCATGAAAACTTAGTGGGATAGAACCTAAGTGAAGATAAAAGAGTACAGCTATTTCCCTTGATGTTGATTACTGAAAATTTTTGAGTTAACGCATTCTAATCTCGCGAACCAATTTCTTGAATGTAGATGTCTACAGTGCTTTTGTTAATAAATCAGTCACATTGTCACTTGAGGGAATTTGTTGAACATCGACATTGCCATTCATCTGAATCTCATTGTATAAAGGAATTATAGAAAAATATACTTTGTCTTGTCACTTTCGATATAGTCTCCTTTGAGTTGTATGATATAAGTTGTATTGTCTTCAAACAAAATTGTTAGACCATTTCTTGTTGAAATTAATCCGCATGATGTTTAGATATAATGAGCCATATTTTTCAACCATACACATTCTCTGCCTAATTTATGGATGACAATAATTTAAAAATCATTTGAAGATGTTGCTGTCAAGGTTTGTTTCACGGATATTTATGATATAGCTTTTTCTCCATGTGTAAACACATTTATTTGTGGTTTCGTTTTATGTAATTTAGAGAGATAACTTGCATCTGCATATCACACTAAAACATATTTCGACTTTTGAGAATAAAATAATCTCAAATCGATAGTACTTATTAGGTAAAGAAAAATGTATTTAATACAATTTTAATGTTTTTGAGTTAGTGTAGAACTATATCTTGTAAGGAGATTTACAGAAAAACTATGTTAGGTTGAGTGCAATTTGCAAGATAGGTTAATGTTTTAATTGCACTAAGATATGATATTTTAGGATCAAAAACCTTTTCGCCATCTTTATGTGAATTAAATGGATCATTTTTCACATT